GAGGGCGGTGGCGACGACGACGATAATGATGACGATCATTTGAATACTCCTCGCTCTTATCTGCTCATGTGTCTTTCAATACGTAAATCCCAACCCTCGATGTCCGCCCTCTTCGTCTTCGATCGTACCCCCCATAGAGGGTACATCTTCCTTCCTTGCCGCGTGTAGTTGGCGCCGCCGAAAACAGTGGAAGGAAAGGAGGAGGGAAGGGAGAAGGTTGGAGCACGAGAGAGAGTTGCAGGAGGAGGGTTGGGAGCAGGATTGCAAGAGGCAAAGCGGGAGCCGTCGTCGTCGCAGCCGGCCCGTTGCAAGTTGGAGGGAATTAAGAAGATGTCTCGAACGAGAGCGCCGTCCCTGATTTCGGAGGTCTCTCTGGCCAGGGCGCCCGGAAGAGAATTGAGGAAGAATCGAGCGGGAACCGTTGTCGTCCTGGTTGTCTTTTTTTACCAACTGGGGCGAAATACAGAGATGTCTCAAACAAGCGCCGTTCCTCAATCGGGAGGCATCTCTGGCCAGGGCGCCTGAGAGTGGAATACGAGGAGGTATCGAGCGGGAGTTGTCACACATTAAACCGTAGTATAAGGATGTCTTGAACGAGAACGTAGTTCTTGAATTTGGAGGCCTCTCTGGCCAGGGCGCTCGGGAGTACATTGTGAGAAAATATCGAGCGGGAGCCGTTGTCGTCGTAGCTGGGCCTCCACCAGCTTGAATGAATTGCGAGGACGCCTCGAGCGAGAGCGCCGTGTCTAAGTTGGGGGGCCTCCATAGCCAGGGCGCCTCGGGATAAATGGCGAGGAGGTGTTGAGCGGGAGCCGTTGTCGTCGTAGCTGGGCTTCCACCAACTTAAACGAGTTACAAGGACGTCTCGAGCGAGAGCGCCGTTGCTGAGTTGTGGGGCTTCCCTGGCCATTGCGTCTCGGAATAACTTGCAAGGAAAAATCGAGCGGGAGCCATTGTCGTCGTAGCTGTGCCTTCAGGAACCCACAAAGCCCCCGCTGGAGCGGGAGCCTCGTCGAGGAGGCGAAAGGCGCACGGAACGACTTCTGGAGATCAGCAATAATTGTTTTTCTTGGATTTCCTCGAAGTGAGAATTCGAAGAAGGCGACGACGACGACGACGACGACGACGGCGACGGCGACGGCGACGGCGACGACGACGACGACGACGACGACGACGATGGCGGCGGCGGCGGCGACGACGACGACGACGGCGGCGACGCAGCGGGTTGGGTCGGGGACTGGGGAGGAGGTCGCCGAAATCGCAGCCGAATCCTTGCCTGCCCGTGGCGGGCGACGGGGACCCCACGCACACGCCGACCAGTAGGGCAGCAGACCCCTCCTGGCATCGGTGCACGCAGAGCCTCCCTGGCCAGTCCAGAGGGGCGTCCGCTTTGATCCTGGGCTCAGCACTGGACTGGTCGGCGCCTGTGCAGATGGCGTTCCCCTGTACCGTTCGAAGAAGAAAAAACGGCATTCGCATAAATTGTTGGCGCTCCGCGCGGAGCGCCGAAAGTTTCTGTTCTGTTCATGCAGCTTTTTGTTCCTCTATCCGTGTCCGCCACCCTGGTCCGAGAGGTGCCCCCCGCGGTCAACCAGGTGGAGTTCAACGCGCACAGCCGCCCCGACGACACCGAGGCGTTCTGCGCCGAGCACAACATCACCATCAGGGCATGGTCGCCCCTGGGGGAGGCCGCGTTCCCCCCCCCCCCAGCCCCCTGAGGCGTCCAGGACCCCCGGGGTATCTCGAAACCTCTGGAGCTGGGGCTGAAGAGACGGGGGTCAACGCAAGCGGGGGTCAGCCGGAGCGCCAGGTCTTGCAGGATCCTGCAGAGCCCAAGGCGCACTGACCCGGGCTTGGGCGCAGGGTCCTGCAGGATCCTGGAGGATCTTGCAGGACCTTGCGAGGCCTGACGGACCCGGGTCTGGATGAACCCCGGGTCGGTAGACCTCCCATGGGGGTCCTGTCAGACGGAGGGCCCCCGAGATTCCCCCCGAGTCCAAGACGGGTCAGGGTCTCTCGAGAGCAGGTGTGTCCGACGATCTTGCTGTGCACGGCGCAGGGTCCCCAGACGTCTGGACTCTGTCCTCCTGCGAATTCTTCCACCATTGGGTCCTTGGACCTCTGGAGGCATTTCTCGTAGACAGCTTTGTCGTCCGGGATCGTTTTCTAGATGGCCACGGGGCCCCGCAACGGATCCTGGAGGCAGATGTCCCTCTTGCTTTCTCTCTCTCTCTCTCTCTCCCTCTCTCTTTCTCTTTCTCTTTATATTTCTCTTCTAATGTACATATACGTATACATGTGCACGTGTAAAGATACACATGTGCGTATGTATGCACCGAGTGTGCAATGCTATGCTCATAGACAGATATACAACAACAGATCCACCCTGCATGGGTTTTAAAGATTAAGACGTCGGGGGTCCAGACGCCCCCTCTCCTCCGATGTTGCACATTTGCTGTAACATGCGGTGCCTCCAGGGATCTCAGTCCATTCCGCACCGCAGGGCCAGCTGTTCATTCTTGCTGTTTTTCCATGGCCCCACGACTTGGAAACAGTTTGTTCGAAGTGTCACCCCCATGCCAACCTGAGCTACGTTCGAGGCTTAAACCTACAGTCAGGTGAACAATTTTGGTAGTGAAATTTTAGATTGCATGTGCACGTATCTGGGGGCGTTTTCGGACGTGCGTCATGTTTAGATCACCTGGTCACCGTTGCATCCGTAGCCATGGCGTCGGAGAAGCGCAACGCAGCGAAGCAGCACGACTGACCGAGACCACGACGGCCGACGACGACCGACCGACCGACCAACCGACCGACCGACCGACCGCTGACCGACGACCGGAGCGACCGACCGACCGACCGACCGAGACGACGACGACCGACGACGACCGACCGACCGACGACCGACGACCGGACCGAACGACCGAACGAACGACCGACCGTCCGACCGACCGACGAAGATGACGACGACCGACGACGACTGACGGACCGACCGATCGACCGACGCCGACGACCAGACCGACCGACCGACTGACCGACCGCACGCGCACGAGCACGCACAGACTGCTCCCATTTGGGGGCGAGGCGCGACTACAATGCTATGACCCCCGCCCTCGGGCCTGTCCTCCCCCCCTTCCCCCACCCTATTCATGTTTTGTTAATAACCCTAGACGGGGTGTGGCTCCAGCTCGCAGTTTTTACGAGGGAAAGCGGTTCCAGCAGCTCACGCGTGCAAGACACAACGATTCCAGCATCAATGGTTCCAGCACCTTATGCCTACAAGGCAGATCGGCTCCAGCACCATATTTTCTACTAGGGAAGGCGGCTCCAGCAGCCTACGTCGCCGGTTCAAACACCCAGTGTTTACGAGGGGCAGTGGTTCCAGCAGCTCATGCTGACAAGACTCGTGGGTTCCAGCACCCGATGTTCTACGATGGAAGGCGGGGATGTCACGACCGTCGTTTCAGATTGCGGGTAGAGCGATCCACGCCCCCACCACCACCACCAGCCGATGCCCCTGACTGTAGGTAGCCCACGCGGAATCCCCAGTCACCCGCGTCGGCGCGAAGATTGTCGCGCTTTGCGCGTCGCGGTCAGGGCCAGATCCTGTGGTTTTCTCCGAGGGTGCGGCGCGGGAGCACCATCGCCCGAAGAGAACCGGGCGCCGCGCACCGCGGGGTACGATGCCCGAGGTAGGGATATGTTTTTTCGTTTCAGACCGGATTGAGGCAGTTCTGGCGCACGAGTCCTCAGCCGCGCACGTCTTCTCAAGATTCGCAACTTGGGCCTTTTCAGGAGGTGCGTTCTGGTCAGAGTTTCGAGGCGGCCCCAGCCGTGGCACCAGGGCTGGGAAGAAATCGAAAAGTTCAATCCTCGAACCTCGATCTGGCCAAGCGTATGGGGCCCGGAGATCTCGACCCCCTTCCCTCGTGACATGTTTTCACCCCGGATCTATTCTTGATTGCCCGAGGACCCGACAACGCTCTTCGGATGCTTAGATCAGAGCTTCCCTGGTGCCCCAAAAACCCACGTCGCGCTCCACCAGAGCCCTTCGACGACGCAATTCTCATTCCGCGTCGCATGTTGGCCGTTCTTCATCGCACGTTGCGAGCTGTCTGCGGTAGGACCGCTGGAAAGCCCAAAAACTCCCACTCGACGGGCGATGCTGAAAGGATTTGAAAAGGTGCCGAAGATGGCGCATTCGACGGACGTATTAGAAGATCGTTTCGATGTCCAACATCGCATTGATAAAACACACCAACCATTTCATCGGGCAGATTTTGTCTGTTCCTCCTGTGTGAGTTGGGCTTCCGTTTGAGATCCCTACTCACACGCCTCGTGAGGGACGTCCACTTATGTTCCCAGTGGGTGCGTCCATATTCCGTCTCCCCGCCCATGCCGGCACACTCCGCTCATGTTTCGTGGCCCCATAGGGAGTTCCACCTATGGCAGCAGTGGTTTTGGCCACGGCACACCGCTTAGACGCGCCGTGGCCCTCAAGGAGTCCCATTGAAGGCCCCAGTGGGCAAGGCCACATGCGGTCCCGCCGACACTTCTGGTACGCCCGTCGCACGTTTTGTGTCACAGGTTTCGTGGCCCCACAGGGAGCCTTTCCGAAGTCCTCAATCGAGCCAAGGGGGGGAGTGGGGGGGCTCCGCATGACGGACCAATTGCAACCGATTGGTATGAATTCCAACCGCCCGTGCCACTTCTCAACCAGCGGAAAACCAAATGGTACCGATTACAACCCACGATTGAAATTATGAGTTACGCCGTGCAATCGGGTTCTGAGCGTGGAGCAGTTTACGACGATTCAGGAACCAAGCGCACCTTTGAAAAGCATTAATTCAGGTAGACAGCATGAGCGCGCGAGTTGGAATTTGCATTCGCTTACGTTATTACATCTGGTAGTTGTATCGGTTTAAACATGAGCAGTTGCCACCAGCCTCACTGGAGCTGTACGGGCATCGTATAGGAATGTTTCAGGTTGCCGACGATAGCTGTGCAGTTCTTCGCGCTGCATGGTTTTCTGTTGGTTTTCTAGTTGATCACGATACAACCTCCACGTGAATGGTGTGAGAGTGCCATAAGCGGGCAGTCGTCCAGCTCCAAGGGAAAAGGCTCAACATATTTATATGAGAGCCCGTCTTCAAATGGGAACCATCAATTTGTAATGTGAGAACTGTATCGGGTTATCTTCCTTTGAACGCTGCGCAGATGTCATTCGAGAGTTAGCAGGTCCCCAGAAGTAACTCCGTGATCTACTGCTGAAAAGCTTTATTGTTTGCACAAGGAACGCGTGACCGTTTGCATTTGGGAACAATGTCCACCCGACAATTGTGTAGCTCCCACGTTGGGCACGCAGGGCCTTCCTTTGGGTAGTTGTACCGCTTGCAATTTAGAAGCGCATGTGTGCCACACGATATGTGTAGAATTGTCAGGTGAGAACCTTTTACATGTCGCGCTGGAATGGCTGCGGGTGCACATTGTAAATCGCAAGCGTCCACATGGTAATTGAAACTCGGCCGAATGAGAGCTGCATCGCGGCCGCGTGACACTTGCCATGTTCCAGCACGGACTTGCAACATTCACGTTGGGTTTGCCCAGCGACCATATGCAATGTACATAGAGTCCGCTATCAGGCTGTGTGGGTCCCGTAAGAGACGCGCATACGTATATGCACATTTAGAAATTTACCCGTCAGTGGTATCACGGCTCGAACGATGTCTTCGTTGAGGAGGGTACATTGCCCATGTTTGCAGCAGGACCTTGATTTGATTTGCTGATTTGGCGTGCAACTATTTGAGCGCATGAGTTCCGCATGTTCTCCGCATAGTTTCGTTCGCGGCTTCGCTTTACAACAGTTACAGCGGTCAATGGTGAACCGCGCCGTTTCATACGACAGTGGTGATGCGTTTGCGATGTCATGGGTGTGTGTTCTTGGGGTGGCCGTACTCGGTGGTGGTAGTAAAATTAGTAGTACACCGCACTCACATCTATACCCCTGGGTGGGTGTATGTGCGGCCGTTATTGCGCTGTCATGTGCGCGCATGTACGCGGCATGTGCCAGTCATGTGCCAGGCCTGTGCGGCCCTTCTTGGATGGACTTCCTACTGTGCACGTCGTGCCCGGGCATGTGCGGGGGCATGTGCGCTGTGTTTTGGTGTATCCATCATACGCACATGCACGCACAGTCCAACGCACATGCGCGCACATGCCTGGACATGCGGGAGGTGTTCGAGAATCGCAGATCTGTCATCGGCACATGCACGCACATGCCTGTGCAACCTCTCTTCGGGAGGCCGCGCGGGCCCGCACATGCACGCACATGCGGTGAAGCGCGCGGGCGCACATGCGTGCACATCCCAATGCACATGCACGCTCATGCCCTAGGAGCTGTCTGGGACCCCTGTGCCTCCAATGCCTCCTGGCCTTCGCAGAGCTAACCTGGGGCGTGCCAGGGCTTCCTGAAAGAGTTTGTTGTGCGTTTAGACTCGCCCGCTGCTGGCGGGGGCGGTTCTTCGCCCGGTTCGTGAGCTGGCGGTGGCGTGCCCTCCTAGTAAAACACTCTCCCGCGCGCCTTCTCAGCTCGGCCGGAGAAGCAGGGGTGGGTGGGGGAGGTGGAGGGGGGGGGAGGAGGGGGGGGCGGAGGAGGCGGACGCCCCCGGCTCGGCCGGCCCGCCCGCCT